CCTTCCTTCCTTCCTTCCTTCCTTCCTTCCTTCCTTCCTTCCTTCCTTCCTTCCTTCCAATTTTGTGATGATAGGGGCTGAGAGGGGGTGTTACTGCACGATTGGCAGTGGGTTGGGGGCGGGGCATTGAATTTCATGCCTTATTTTCAGTATTTCAAAGAGAAGGAAAGACATTCACAGATCAGCTTCAACTGCTTTGGAGAGTGAAACTGGTGGCAGTATGAAATTGCTCTCAATTCTGGTTTAGGCTGACACAGGCTTTGTTAGTGAGAAAGACTCAATAATATGGCACAGAAAATGGCAAGGAATATACTGTCAGTGGGAACTTTTTTCCACTGAACCCCGAATTCACAGATATTAGTGGAGAGGTAAATATTCAGACTCCAGAATTCTCATGATACTTCCCTGCTGCCAAATTATATCTCTCTTTGTCAAAACCAACAATTTAAAAAATGTCCAGCTGAAGGTTTGCTTTTCAGTAAGTCCAGCTGCTACATGTTTGCATTCTGGACAACCAGATTTAAAAGTTATCTGTTGTCATTCAGGGTTCTAGGTTTTCGTTTTACTGTCCCATACCAACCTTATGTCTAAACAGTTTGCTAAATGTGCTATGTCTTAATCGGGGGCTGTCTGGCTTCTTTTTCTTGGTGCTTTTGACAAGGGAATCAATCGGCTTCTTCTCAGCAAGTTGCCCACCATGGCCTGTTTGAGATCCCTTTGTGTGACATCAATCAGAGTTGAATTTTCATTGCATACTCTATTTCCTTTTGCCAATAATAGACATCAGCAATACTTTATGCACAATGTTGTCATAAAAAAGTACTCATATCCACAAATCTCACTTCACTGAAGAGAATTCTATATTCTATTATCTATACCATCACATTTTTGCTCAATTATTTGCAACACGATATAAATCATTTCAGTGTGCATTTATCTAGCAAGGATTCTACATGTATATGCCACTGAACTCCAGTACACACCACAGAACATTTGTGGGTATTTTCTGAGGCTACATAATAAACTAACGGGGTACCATGCTCTCTCTACAATCTTTTATGGACACCCAGAACTCTCTGATGACTCCATATTGCAACAAAAATCAGTAATAGGGAAGTTGTCCTACAAGCAAGGATAATTCTATTTAACTGTGGAGGTCTTGCAAACCATTCACAGTGTTGGTCTTAACAGTGAAATAGAGAGCAGGCTACTTAAAAAATTGCCTCAATGGATACAATCTGCTTATAGACTAAGATCACCCTTGGGAGTTTCTTAGTAAAGAGACAGGGAATTTTTGATTATGGCTTCAGAAATTTGACTTGAGCCTAGCCTATTATAGATCATAAAGTAAGGCTGGAAGATTTCCTTCATCTGTACTTTTCACTGAGGCTGTATTTATCAAAACCTTACAACAATGCTGAATGTATTTTGTACACTTTTTGCCTTTGCTCGTGTAAGTACATAGCTTTGTCAGAAGATATGACAAAAACATGATGAAAAAAATACTAGAATGAATAGGCCAGCTCTGAATTTCAAACAGAATAGAAGCCAAGAAATTCCCAGAGTATATATTAGATCGAACCTGTTCCATTTCTTACATTGGAAAACTGGTACTAAAGTACTATACGGTATATCAAATTAATGGGATGTGGAGTTTAACAGGATTATGACTGTTAAGTGACCATGCAGGCTGAGAAACTTAGGCACTGAAGACCAGTACACATGGAACATGCCTATTTGGGGAAATGGTGGGACCCATATTCTCCTTTTCTCATCCTTTAACCTTATACGTTTGCCACACGGCTAAAATATGGAGTCTGTGAGACATGACTAATGCTGAAACAGAGAAGGGGGTAATAACTTTTTTCATACATTACATAGCAAAATTTATCTGATTTGCCAACATATATCTGATTTGCCAACAAAATTAATTCAACAGGACACAATATTTCACCCTGATTTTCTCACATGTGCAGAACACACAATTTATATTTGGATGTTACTCTTTTGGTGTGTGCCTAAAAATGTAGTGTCATGAAGCCTACTATACTGCGCTGATAGAGTTCATAATAAAACTATGCAAGACCAAAATAAGGAGGTATTTTTGGCCTATCATCAACCCTCTGGAATGAGGTTTCCTCCAAGATCCAGATGGCCCCACTCAGTTGTTGTTAAGAAGAGCTGCGAAGACCTGGCTTTTCACCTAGGCCTTTGGCGAGGGACAGGGAGACCCCTTGCTTCATCACACTTGCCATCTTTTATTTTTATCTTTTACAGTTTATTGATTTGATTGCAATTTCTTTGTTTGATTGTTGTGAGCTACCCAGAGTTGTTGAGGGTTGGGTGGCATACAAGTTTAATAAATTATTAAATTAAATTATCTTTGTCCCAGAAGCTCACAACCTACATACTGTCCTCCTCTTCCATTTTATTTTTACTACAACCTTGAGATATAGGAAAGGCTGAGATAGTGGCTGGGGAAGGGAAGCTTCCAATTTGGTGGCAAGCTTGACTTCCAAACTGATTGCCCCATCCTGGGTACAAGGTGGCCAGATTGCTGGTACCTGTAGCCTCAAGGTGCTGATGGTCAATGCTTGATTTATCTGTAGCAACACCATCTTCATGCACAATTTGGTGTTGAATGAGGCAGCAGACCTGAAGTACCTTATCAAAACTTGGCTGGGTGGAGGCAGAAATGTTGCCTTGACAGAAATAAACCACAACAGGTTGAGTTCTTACAACATCCTAAACCAAAATGAAACAATTGACTGAACCTAATCACCATGAGCAACATGCTTAACAAGAATTGAACCCCACTCCTTGTCTAACAAAATTTACCATAGCTTTCCCCAAGCTAGCAGCCTCCAGATGTGCAGTGTGGCCTCCTAGAATCCTTGGTGTTGCAGTCCAATACATTGAGGTTGCTAGGCTGGAGAAGACTGATTTATTGCTATGGTTATTTGACTTATAGCCAAATGCATTCTAATAACTACAGCTGCAATCATTAAACTCAGTGAACAGATTCAGACTTCTGAGTCAATACATTGGCTGCTTTGTGTGACACTGAACTACAGATTAGCTAAACACATTTTAGCAATTGCGTGGTTAATGAGCAGTTCATGTGACTTGCAAAATTACAGCTATGCCCACGTGGCTAACCATGGGTATTGAACAGACCACACTATCAAGTAGCAATTTGATCAATACATTATACTAAACTATGGTCTCTTTAATTATGTTTTGTTGTAAGCATAGTTGACTCATTTACTACATTATGCCAGGCTAGGATCTATGGTTTAAAATCCACAATAGCTGGATTCACACATCATGCTAACTCAGAAATAAGCAAACTCTGTTATGGTTTGATTCGATGGGTGAACCCAACTGATGTATGAAAGAGCCAATCAATATTGTCAGGTTTAGATTCACTTGTGAATTACTCTGACTTTAGTCCAGTGATGGTCTCTCAAGCAAGCCTATATAATAAGACAGTTGTGAAGGTAAAATATGTGAAATGATGCATATTATATCACACATCAACCTTAAAATCACCCAACTTCATATCAGATGCAAAGCTTTTCCATGGAGGTTGAAATGTGTGTATGAATCAATCTTTAGATGTACAGGTAGCTATCCCAAAGAAGAACATCTAATATTGAACTTGCTAGGAGAAAGACACTCACCTTTTCCTCAGTGTCACACTTGGAATCTGCTTTGCTTGGTGAAACCTTTCAAGACAAAAATAATCCTTGAAAAGTGCAGTTTTTAAAACCATTCCAAATCTTGACAGTGTCTTTGATTGAGAGGGAAAGGGAAGTAGAAGGATATAGTTTTAAACACCGAGATATACAATGGAGCACATACAGTATATTTCCATATATGTGAATCACAGTGACATTCTAGTGAAGTTACATTTTTTTCCCCTCAAATAAACAAATTGGACAGACATCCATCAGAAAAGAAGTGGGAAGGTTTTTTCACAAAAAATTGAGACTAGATGGCAGAAAAACTGCTGCTTGTAATGAATATATTCATTTGTTGTTTTGTTACACAAGTCTCTCCAGTTTTACACATTTTGTTAACTATTGTCCTGCTTTCATTCCCCCTCAGAAAAGATGCTCTTTTAGGAATTATTATTAATTCATCAAGGACACCAATAATTTATAGCATTATCAGCTGCAATATCTGTTAAACAACTGCCCAGTTTCAGGACATTTTCGATTTAGATAAAGAAAAAGCTCCTTCAGGAAGTTGGAGCAGATAATCCACTAGATCTTTTTCATTCCCCTGACCGCATGAAGAATTAAAAAAAGCATATTCTCTAAATGTTGGAAAAGCATACATATTTTGGGGAAATTATATTTGATAATTATGGCTCTGCCAGCTTGCGTGGGGTGATAACAATCTTACCCAATCCTGGAGGTGGCTGGCGCCTTGATGACGTACCCTGAGTGACTGCCAATTATTCTTGGATCTATTTATTTTCTATGTATTAATAATAGATTGTAATTTTGTAATTTTAATTGATTTTAACTGTTTTGTAAACTGCCCAGAGTCGTT